TGAGTGAGAGAGCTGAAAACAGCATGATTACAATAATGTTTATCTTCTTAACTTTGAATAGATGTTGATTACCTGAATACTGGACCTTTGTTGTCTGGGTAGTACACTGTTGAATTTATAAATGTGCTCTTACACACAGATGAATACAGAAAAATAATTTGATGATTTAATAAATGATTTAATGAATAACTGATATTTTCTCTCTTTCTTTGCCATCCTGAAGACCTCTCACTTAAAGTCCATGTTCTTCTGGATCCATGTCACATGCTCAAGCTTCTTCAGAATGACATTTCAACAGTCGAAGTTCTGGTGAGAGAAGATGGCCAGCAGATAAGACAGCAGTACATCAACGAGCTCCACAAGCTTCAGGAGGAGGAGGAGGGTTTGCACCTTGGAAGACTGTATTCATGCTGTTCAAATAAAACTAGATCTCCTCCAAACAACTTGCAATCAAACTATTTTCTTCCCATTTTAAAACCCTTTGTCCAGTTTAGATGGGAGAAGTTGATATTATGTGATATTGATCTGGGAAGACTACATTTCTAAATCATTTTTAACTGTGTTTTTATTCACAAGTTATTGATCTTATTTACTCTCCATGTATCTTGATTTAAGAATGGGGCTGTGTTTAAGCTCATCATTTTGCAATGACTCTGTTCCATCCCATTTTAAGAAATGAACTGCATTAGTATTTATCAAAAGAATAAAAAGTTGTGTAAAAGTAGACTTCCTTCCCTAAGCTATTGAGTTGAGCATTAATGCACATTTTAGTCTTGTCATTTCAAATCTGAAATGTATACTCATAAGTAGACATAAAGGAGTGCATTTATATAGAAATATTTATTTAATCTGAAAAACAACATTTAAAAAAAGTCTGTTTTTACAGCAGAGATGAACATGTTTACAGCTTGGTACAAAACAAACAAATAGGTGTGATTAGCTCATGTCTCGATGGACACACACTGTACGGGGGGTGAATGTTTTGATGACTCATCAGTTTTGATTTGATGAAGGATAAGAGTTATTCACAATAAGGCGTGTAGCTGACCAGCTTGACAGGGGCGCGGTGTACACGGTTTGTCAGGAGGTTTAAAACCCGCCTCAGCTCTCAGCCTGTGGTGACATCACTCAGGCCATCCGGGGAGACCTCCCTCACAGCGAGCTGTTGAAGAGAAGCAACTGAAGTCCACCCCAGAAGAACCAACAAATACAGATGTTGTTGAGGCTCAGGTTTCTTCCTCTGTCTCTGCAGCTCTCTGGGCACCTCGATGGACCAGTCACCAATAATCCACACTGTGTCTATAGGAGAAATACAAAGGTGTTCAATTAATGCCTCAGACAAGACACAATGTACAGTTAACTACATGTGACAGCTCAGGTGTTTTTTTGTTATGAGCCACATCTGCAGGAATAATATTGAACAAGGTAGCTGCAACTCATCATAATAGATGCCAGTCTTAAACACTATTTTTCTAATACTTAAAGTTTTTGGTGTGAAGCTGACACTGTCCACAGACTCCATGACTTCACAGGTTCAATAGAAAACAAATATCTTATAATAAATACTAAATATTTATTTTTCAATTGTCATGTTCACCTCATCGCTGTTGACATCAGTAAATATAAGACACAGACATTCCTCTTTTTGTCAGAACAGTAACATGAACTGTATGCTTTGTAATATAGATTTCTTCTGGATGTCTATTATTTACAGTTATGGATAAAACTTTGTTAATGTATTTCTCTGCTAACACTGACAAAGTCTAACTGCTCTGACAAATAACTAATAACCATGATTGTATATTTAAAAAAGTGTAGTTTTAAGACTTTAATTAAATATTTGGTTGAATATAATTAGTTTTAACTGTGTTGTAGAAAAGTTAAATGTTAACTTACTGTTTAGTTTTCTCAGGATGAGCAGGAATAGTTGATGATAGCAGCCTAGCTGTTAGCTATGCTGTGAAGTGGACTGCTGACGTCGAGCTGAATGGGCGGCGTTAAGTCCCGCCTTACTGCTGTTTTTAGGTTGATCCGAAGTTAGGTTGAGACTGCAAATCCAATATGGATGCGGCCGTCGATTGGACTCATTTTCTGTCTATGTAACAGACGGGTCAGGGTTCATCCAGTAATATTTACAGTCTATGGTCATGACGATGCCAAACTGTCCATCAATCCGATCACACACTGATGGTGATGCCTTCAGGAACCATTTGGGTTGCTTCAACTGGGGATCGAACCACCAACTTTTCTGACAACCAAACCACTGTACCTCTAAGCCACATCTTCCCCATAACATTGACAGTATTATTTTGTTTAAGGATGTATTAGCTTTAGGTAGTATATTGATTTTATAATATTGGTTCTAAATGAAATACGATGTCTTGAGTTAGTTCTTCTTATAATTATCTCCCATGCTTAAAAAATGTGTCCTTGTCGTCTTGTATGTTTCATTCATCTTGCTTTAAAGCATTGTCTTCTTCCGTTTGATGAATAGTTTCATATTATAATTATCAGTGTGTTATTTCAACAAGACAATGTTGTACCTCTGTCAGTATCATTTCCCTCATTCAGCCACCAGAGAGCAGCAGAGTACGTCTTTTAAAAATGGCCTTATATCCTGCTCAGTTCATCCACCAGACTCAGTTAATAAATCCAGACTGTTAGTGAAGCAGCTCATTCAGTCTCCACAGAGACTCTCCTGTAAGGACTCACTGAAGAGGATCACTTTACACCTCATAGAGACGAGGACATTCAGCTGACGTAGTCACAGGGTGTGGCATGAAGCTACATTTCAGTAGTTCTTGAGTAGTTCTTGAAATTAATGATGATGTAATGGGTGTGAAGATTTGATGGTTATGTGTTTCTAAGAAGATGCTCGTGCATTTTCTTATCTATTTACAGAGTATATCAGTTTTCTACATATTGACTTGTTTTTTCTTATTTCTTTATGGATCCAGAAAGGAGCCAGTCAAGGTTTTGTTTTCACACACTTTGCATTGAATGGAGAAGCAGGATCCAGATACCTGTGATCACTTGAAAGGAAAAGAAACTGTGCCTTTGAGGTTTGGGACTTTTAATCTTTCAGAGTCACTTCAACTCTACAATTCACTTAGCAGACGCTATTATCCAAAGTGCAACACAAGCGAGGATCTAGAGAGGAGGAAACAAAGTCAGTAAGTGCAAATGAACAGCTTTCAGTCTGATCTGACACACAGATGCTGACAGGAAAGCACAACTTCAACAGCTGTTCGTTAGAGTTCTAATCAGCATCAAAACCATCCTAAATATCGTGATCATCATTACCAAACAACACCATCTTCATCTTCATCATCATCATGAAGGTCATTGGTGTTCATAAAGAGCTGGTCTTTAGCTTTTTCTTAAAGGTGCAAAGGGACTCTGCGGATCCAATGAAGTTTGGAATTATTTTCCACCACCGGGGGGCGACAGAGGAGAAGAGTGTAGTTAGAAACTTAAGAACCCGTCCGGTTCAGTTCGGTATGGTACACATGTATTGGTGTTTCTACTGTCATGAATACTTTTTTGGCACGCTTCTGTTGGGGTGCCAAGCGTACTGAACCGACCCTAAAGGTTGGAGCTAGAAACACTGCAGTCTGTTGATTGGTCGAAAGAAGAATCTTCACTTGACAGCGGTAATAAAGGACAAACACAAAACGCACCACGTTTTGGAGAGAGTCATTAAAAGGCTGTTTTTTGTTTTTATGGGACTATATGTCAGCGCGTAGCTCCGCCCCATGGACGACCTGGGAGATGCAATCATTCATTTTTATTTACTGTGTCACATTCTTCTTCTTCTTTATTGAATGTCTTGGCTGTCTGTCGTGCCGCTGTTGTTTATGATGTACGGTTGGCTGTTGAAACGCAAACAAGATCAGGGTTTACCGTGTCAGACTGTACTGAACCAAACCAGACCGCTTGGTGGAAACGGGGCTTTAAGGCCCAGGTTCAGTTGGACATTTGTGAACACCTTATAGAGGCAAATAAAACCACATAAAGTGCAGGCTGGCTCTTGTATAGTGTTTGCTTCCTCTCTTATTCAAGTACTGCTATGTGTTGCTTTTATCCGTCCCTAAACATTGGCTGTTATTGTGTAAGTTGAAAAGTTGTTTTAGGTAAAAGAGTCTGCAGGACAGTAAACTAAACTGAGCGCACATTCGTGAGTGTGTGTCCTCAGTGAAGTGTGTCAGTCTCTGCAGAAGCTTCCTGCTGCAGCAGTCAGTCTGGTTTCTGTTCAGGCTGACTGAGGGAGGTTTTTGTACGACGCTTTTTCACTGTGTGAACACAACTCACTGTTGATGATATGTACACTCTGACAGTAGTAAACTGCTGCGTCTTCAGTCTGGACTCCACTGATGGTCAGAGTGAAGTCAGAGTTTGATCCACTGCCTGTAAAACGATCTGAAGTCCCTGATTCTCGAGTGCTACCATCGTAAATCAGCAGTTTAGGAGTTCCTCCATCTTTCTGTTGGTACCAGGCTAACAAGGGTTCGCCAAGAGGAGTAGCTACATCCTCACTGGTTGTACATGATAAGGTGACGGAGGCTCCCAGAGCAGATATCACTGCTGCAGACTGAGTCACTGAGACCTGTCCTCTGGACTCTGAGGAGACAGAGACAAACACATGAAGCAGCATCAGGGTTGTGTGGGCTTCATTTCAGAGAGACGGATGTTCATAGAGGAGAGGAGTTTGATTGTCTGGACTTTACCTGTGAAGCAGCAGCAGAGGAGGAGAGTCCAGATGAGGACGCAGATCAAAGTCATGTTTTTGGATGACGAGGAGGAGGAGGATTTCTGTGTCTCCTGTTGTGATGAAGGACAGCTGTCAGTCCTGCAGTGTTCAACTCTCAGGACTTTAAACTCTCCCGAGCACTGGAGCATGCTGCTGCTCATGCAAAGTGGCTCTTTATGGAAATGCTCTGACTAACTGGGGACTTGGATTATACTAATTATAAAGTTAATTTTTTAACTTTCAATAAGACATGTTTTTAAAACCGTGTTCATGCTTCTGGAGAAATCCCCGGAATAAAATGTCTTAATTTTGAATATTAATGGGAATGTATTCTTTATACTTTTCAGTTCATTTGAAGGTTTTGCAGACAAGAGCATTTTTTTTACTTTCTTTAGTGAGAGGTTTTTGTACGGCGACTCAGTGAGTTTGCATCACTGTGGTACACATTTGGTGGAGGAACCAGACTGGATGTTGGAAGTAAGTCAAATATTAACCCTTTGTATGTCAAGAGATTATTTTATTTTGAAATGCAAGACTGAAAATGACTGACCCAAACATTTGTGTGCATGTTTTTCTCTGTATTTAGACTAAAAACGAATTTTTAATGAAACACAAAATCGTATCAAAATAAATGTCAAATCTGAAGCCAAGTCATCATTTGTTCCAGAGTAAATGAGTGTTATCATTGTAAAGGTGAAGTTGCATCTTGAGGGCTGGTAGTTTGAGTACGATGTGTTGAAGTCAGAGAGCCGTGTCTCTGTGCAGTGAGAGGTTTTTGTACGGCGACTCAGTGACTTTGTATCACTGTGGACTTTTGGTGGAGGAACCAGACTGGATGTCGGAGGTAAGTTTCTGTTGATTTCTAAACAGTGTAATGTAATCGTGATTTTTTTTTTTTCATGTACAATATAAAGAAACATTTATACATTTTTACATTATATTTTTTTCCTGTTTGTGTTTGTCCTCCTGTACCATCTCAGGACAGATCGTTTACATTCAGTTCAGCAGCTTCAGATTCATAAAAAATAATTCTCTGGTTTCAGATATCTATTCCACATCAACGATAACTCTTAAAGGCCCTTATTTCATTTTGTCATTTTGAATAAATTGCTCAAAGGGAAGTTGTAAGAATTTTGAATGAAAATGTTCAAAATCTCTGATCTCTTTCTGCAGATTATGTCACTTAAGATTTTTTAGCCTTTTATGATTTAAAACATGTTTTATTGATAGATTTGGTTCATGTTTCCACTCAACAGTTAGAAAAACAGGTATTTCAAAGGTTTGAGTGATTTGATGATTTTTCAGCGTTTTTATTTTAAGTCCAGTGTATTCTGGTCTCTCCGTACGATGATCGTCTCTGTGTTGATTTGCATGACAGATTTCTGAGAGGGAAGTGAAACAATGTGTGAGTGACTGCTGAAGCAGAAAAAAACATCTGACAGAAACTCCTTAAAGGAGAAACTCTGCTTTCAACTGCAAAGGTGTCCAGGAGTGATGTGTTTGACTGACAGCTGTGTGGTTCCTGTCCTCTGTTCTGATTGGTGTCTCCTAGGTGAAGCCCGTCCCACCTTGATGGTTCTGCCCCCTTCCAATGAGGAGCTGCAGCAGGGGAAGGCCACGCTCGTGTGCCTGGCCAACAAGGGCTTCCCCTCAGACTGGAGTCTGGCCTGGAAGGTGGACGGCATCAGCGGCGGCAGCTGGGAGGAGAGCAGGGGCCCTGCGGTGATGGAGCAGGACGCTCGTTACAGCTGGAGCAGCACCCTGAGGCTCTCTGCAGGCCAGTGGACGAAGGTGGGCTCTGTGACCTGTGAGGCCACCCAGGGCTCCCAGACGCTGGTCTCAGAGACACTGAGGAGGGACCAGTGTTCCCAGGACTGAGCTGTATCACCTGGACTCTGCTGCTGGTTTCCCCTGCTGTTGTTTCACTTCTGAAACTGCCCTCAGTTTACACGCTAAATGCCTTCTTTCCCTCTCTATGATTTTATGTTTCAACGTTAATTTTCTTGCCTTTTTATTGACAGTTTTTCTTAAATTGAGCAAAAGAATAAAAATGGAATCAAACAGTGTTCGTTGTGCATATCTTTCATTTCTTAACAGGTTAACAATTTTTGAACGGACTTTGGTAAGTTCATCTAAAGAATAAAAAACAATAGCAATGGAAAACGTCCAAATAATCTTATATCATCAAAATCTGCTGTTGAAGATGGTGAAATGTCTCAATTTGATGACTGATGTGTTGAATTGTTAAATCTCTGAAAATAATGAAGGTGGGTAAGAAATGTGTTACAAATAAAACGGATGATATCATCAGCATAAAGTGATAAAACATTGCTTCTGGCATTTTGTTCAATGCCTGCTCTGTGGTTGTCAAAATTAGATTTAAATACATAAATTAAAATCATGAGAACACACATTGTGGAAAGTTTATTCAAAGGCTTTTTGGTAGGGTTAGGGTTAAGACTGTTCTGCATATTCTGTTGGGATGTCAAAAGAAAACGATTTAATACTTAACTCATAAAAAGAGATATTTATCAATTAAAACAATTCAAATGTTTTTTAATTATTGACAGTAGTAAACTCCTTCTTTTACCTGTGGGTGCTTTGGGTGCTCTGCTTTTCTTGGATATAATTAGTAGGACTCTTATGGAAACAAGTTTGGAACCAGACTAACCTTTCCTCTGCAGGGCACCAGTTTAGCTCAGTTGATAGAGCAGGCGCTGTATTTTATATATTTGTGGCGACAGTAGCTCAGTCTGTAGGGACCTTGTTTGGGAACCTGAGGGTCGCTGGTTTAAGTCCCTGTACACATCAAAGTATGGAAGCTGCCAGGTCCCAGGTCACTCTCCGAGTGCTATAGAGGTGTCCTAGAGCAAGACACTGAACCCCAACAGCTCTGTTGTGCTCCCTGTGTCGCAGTGTGTAGCAGCCCCACTGACATCTCTCCAGGTCCTGATTGTGTTAGTGTGCACAGACATCATGTCCACAAGTTTTCAGATGTTACTGCTCGTGCACCTACTTACCCAAGGCAATAATCTGACCAACAAAAACAGAGATTGAATCTTTAGTCAGCTGGTGTGATGCATATTGAATGTTGGGAAAGTATTATTGATTTTAGAAGAAAGAAAGACGATGTTTCCCCTCATAGCAGATCCAAACTGTCCAGTTTCATAAAATGTCATTCATGGACAGTACATTAAATTGGAAAAAGGACACTGATGTGCTTGTAAGAAGGCTCAGTCAAGACTCTTAAGGAAGCTTAGATCCTCTGACTTTAGCAAGAACCTTCTGTACGTTTTGTATCTTGGCTAGTGTCCTCTTTTATGCTGTTCTGTGCTGGGGGGGGGCAGCTTCTGTTTGGATGATACAAATAGGATCAATAAGCTGATCAAAGAGGCTGGCTCTGTGATCGGCTTTACCCCACACTCTCTTGAAGTCACCTTTGAGAAGAGAACGAGGACAACACTAAAAATCTTTTCATAAATATCTGACATATGCCAAGGGTTCATTTTGAAATGCTAAGTACTGTATAGTGGAAATATATGATATTGAATAACTGATTGTGTAGTTTTTGTATTACAGGGAAGAGGTGATGGAAACCAGTCAGTGTAGTGTTTGAGTGTGTGTCCTCAGTGAAGTGTGTCAGTCTCTGCAGAAGCTTCCTGCTGCAGCAGTCAGTCTGGTTTCTGTTCAGGCTGACTGAGGGAGGTTTTTGTACGACGCTTTTTCACTGTGTGAACACCAACTCACTGTTGATGATATGTACACTCTGACAGTAGTAAACTGCTGCGTCTTCAGTCTGGACTCCACTGATGGTCAGAGTGAAGTCAGAGTTTGATCCACTGCCTGTAAAACGATCTGAAGTCCCTGATTCTCGAGTGCTACCTAAGTAAATCAGCAGTTTAGGAGTTCCTCCATCTTTCTGTTGGTACCAGGCTAAAAGGGTTTTCGCCGTAGTACTACATCCTCACTGGTCCTACATGAGCAGTGACAGAGGCTCCCAGAGCAGATCTCACTGCTGCAGACTGAGTCACTGTGACCTGTCCTCTGGACTCTGAGGAGACAGAGACA